TGGGTGAAAGATATATGGCAGTGTGCTTCTGCAAAGATTACAGCCCTGAAAACCCTGTCAGGCAGTTCTGTGTCCTGTGGGGTTGTTGTGAGTTGATATTTTAGAGTTTTAAGCTAAAAAGTGTGTTTTGAATTTTAGTTAATTTTTAACTAATTTCCCTGATAGGGAAGTTCTTTGTAATAAGTAATGGCATTGTGTAGTATCAGATCTCTGATTTTTCTTGATTTGACATAGTCTTGTTTTATCTTTCTTTATCTAAAATAGATATTTATATTTATCTAAATATATTTAGATATATATTATATATAGATATATACTTATATATTTATCTAAAATAGATCTTTAAAGCTTTTTATCACTTGGTTTTTCTGATCATGTTTTTCCCTTACAGCCTCCTTATCTATATCATTTCATTAATTCATAAAGTTCGTGTAGTAACTTCATCATAGTAAGCTCACAAGAGAGCAAAAGAGACAAAATCCATGCCTTCATGTAACATACATTTTACTTGTATGTCACAAATAATATATGAACATAATTTTTCAGCTCAGTTGATAATAATGAGGTATATAACAAACAAAAGAAGGCCAGGTAAGGGGGGGAGGTGTTGCAATTTTAAATCATTGGGAAGGCCTCTTTGGGAAGTGGGATTGGCAAGGATGAGGACAGATGAGGGGAAAAGGTGTGTTGTCAGCCAGTGTCAGAGCATGGTAGTCAGTTCTAGGCCCTGAGGTGGAAAATACAACAACAAAGCAAGGAGGTCCATAGAATTAAAATCAAGTGTATATGTTTGGCTTGCATCTGGATTTGTCTTGCAGGTACTCTGAGGATTTTACCTCTGTGTTAATTGGGGTGACAATTTTAAACGGAATTTTATCAACAGACTTAGAGAAACACATCCTTGGAAGTGGTCAAGGAAATGCTATATTTATAAAAGATGTTACTAAACTGTGTTACTCATTTACTAAAGTGCATATTTTTACAATAAGCAAAAAATATATGTATTTTAAGATACGCTGCTAATAAGTACTTACATAAAGGAAAGCATTTTGGAAAGTTTCACCTAAGTGGTTTTTGCTTTTTAAATTTAGTAGAGCCAGTCAACATCAGAAGTTAGATTTATATTTAAAAGCTAACTATCTAGCATAGCTTTTTAAACTGGAGGATGATCTGTTCATGACATGATCTTTTTAAAAAGTTGATTGTGGTGTCATAAATAGGATTATGTCACTTCTGGTAACACAGGGCTAAAGGAGATGAATTCAACATCTGCCACTTCTTACCTGAGAAATATTTACTTAGGCAGTAATCATTTAGTATAATGGCTATTGGACAAGAAATAAGACCTGATTATTTTACAGGAAGTACTTCAGGTTAAGTGATATGTAATTGTAAAAATTTTATGATAAGCAGTTTTAAAATTTCATCAACTGTGGTAATCATTTTTTAAAGTTCTAGTTACAAAATTATGAGTATAAGGATAATATTTAATTTATAGTGCAACCAGGAGTATTTCTGCTTGTGGTGGGTACTAGACAGCATTTCCCTCTACTGCTTCTTTTGACTCATCTCTCCTCTCTGTTCTCCAAGTGATTCAGCTGTCTTGGTGCTTGGTTCTGTCCTATTTTCTTTCAGTCCCTCTCCCTCTTCCTTTGGAAACCATAAAATCCTCTTGCACATTAGTGTCCTTTGACTAGATCCCATAACCTTGGTTGGCTAAATTAGAGTAGACCAGTTTGGAAAGACTAGTGGAATGGCTGGTTTGAGCAACCAACTAATATGCTAATCCTGTTCATATTGAACAGTTGATATTCCTTAATTTGAGTCTCAGAACCCTTTATAAGCTTTATTTTCTTGTAATTGTGTTCTTGTTACGTTCCTTGGTTGGCTCAGTGAATTGGATATTGAACTGCCAAGAACAGGTCAGCAGTTTGAACCCATCAACCACTCTTCCAGACAAAGATGTGACAGTCCGCTTCCTGTAAAGATTTACAGTTTCAGAAACCCTATGAAACAATTCTTTGCCCTATTAGGGTCCTTATGAGTTGGAATTGATTCAGTGACAGTGGATTTGGTATGGTTTGAGTTTCCACCCTCTATCCTGATCAGAATGTTTTGTTTACATCCCCTCAATAATGTTCAATAATCTATAAATTGTAATACTCTGTAAAGCATAAGTATATCCTAGTATTTTCCATGTCTCCATTATGTCATTTACAACCTTCTTTTCACTTCTCTACTTACACCTAATCCCTACCCATTTTTTCAGTACCAAATTCATATTAATCCTGTTTAGTAAGACCTAATCAGTCCACTTCAACCTAAAATGTTTTTTTTTTCCATGTTTGGGTTTTACAGAAACAATCATTGGCCAAAATAAAAGTCCTGTTACTGCCAAATCTATTCCAACATACAGCGACCCTATAGGTCAGAATATAAGTACCCCTGAGGGTTTCCAAGACTATACACCTTTATTGGAGCAGCTTGCCCCATATTTCTCCCTCAAAGTGGCTCTTGGATTTGAACTGCCAACCTTTTAGTTTGCAACTGAGTAAGGCACCATCAGAGCTTTTCTTTGTAGCAATTGACTATCAACTGTTGTCTTTCTTGTCATTTTGCTGTTTATTTGTGCACCTTGTCTTGCTAATTACCATATTTTTTTACTGATAATGTGTGGTAGGTGTTTGGGTTTTTTGGTTTTTTTAAAACCATAAACTCCCCCTGCACATTAGTTTCCTTTGCATGCTATGGGCATATTATTTGCAAAAGAAATATGGTAGTTGATAAATAATTGAGGGTAGGGACTACAAATTATACTTGCTCACTTAAAACCCTAAGCCCTTGCATTCTGATTTGCATGTAGTATATACATATGATTATAAAACCATAGAATTTCAGAACTGAAAGGGCCTTTGAGGTTCTCTTGTTTTAGATTTGGGCTGTCAGGAACAACTGTAAAATAGGAATAATATATATACACATATATACATACACACACACACACACACACATATATATATATGGTTGTAGAATACAATAAGATAATGTAATAGATGCGGGCCCTTTAGTATAGTATTATATAGTTATGATTCAGTTTGCATAGGAGCAAGAAAAAGTTTTCAATCTTTTACTGTGAAAAACGAGACTGTTACTGGGTAACTGGGTAGTGTTTACCTTTGTCTTTTCCCATCATTTCTCCCTTTCTCTTTTAATTTAAAAATGAACATTATACATTAGCCAGTTTTTATATTCACAATTATGCCAAAGTGAAACAGTTTTAATTGGAGATCATGCCATTATTTCTTTAAAAGATTTATTTAACACTAAGTGTGCTGATTTATATAAGAAACTAAACACACTGCCATTGAATCCATTGTGACTTTTAGCGACCCTATAACTGTTTCTGTGGGTTACCAAGACTGTAAAGTTTTCCCCTCAATAATTCATGCACATTTTGTTTATTATTATTGATTGTAATTCCCATGATGTATGTACCTTTATCCTACTTTCTCCCTGTTTTTATTCCTCCTCCTTTCCTACCTCATCAAAACTTGGTCTTTGAGGAAATGCTGCCTTCTGGACCTCAAGTCATTGATTATTCTAAGGTTTACTTCCCTAATGTTATTGTTCTCATTATGTTGTTGTTAGGTGCGGAATCAATTCTGACTCATAGCAACCCCATGTAAAACAGAACAAAACACTTGCTGGTCCTCTGCCATCCTTACAATTGTTCTTACAGGAGTAGAAAGCCTCATTTTTCTTCTGATGAGTGGGTGTTGGCTTAGAATTGCTGACCTGGCATTAGCCCAGTGTGTAATCCACTAGCCACCAGGGCTGATCCATGTAGGACGTTGTTTCCCAAAGTGGGCAATGCCACCCCCTGGTGGAAAATAGGGCTGGAATGATCCAGGGAAGACTGCAAAAGCAGATGCCTACACTTTATCCTGGATTATGAGCTATAATTCAAAAGTCTTTAATTGTAGGGAGTACTGGGTAATTTTTTTCTGCAAGAGGTGCAGTAGGTCAAATAAATTTGAGAACGTTTATTATAGGAGATTCCTATTAGGTATATAAACATAAAGCATTATAGCTAAATGGCAATTTCGTCTTTGGGACATGACTACTGTACTCTTTTTCTTTTTTTTTTAAACATTTTATTAGGGGCTCACACAACTGTTATTGCAATCCATACACACATCAATTGTGTAAAGCGCATTAGTACATCATTCTCAAAACATTTTCTCTCCACTTAAACCCCCGACATTAGGTCCTCA